CCCCCCCCGGGGCCCGCGGCCTCTCGGGGCCGCCCCCCAACCCACCGCGGGCACCAGCCTCCGCCACCCGTGCCGCTCTGATCCCGGCCCGGCCGAGCCCTCTTTAAAGGAGCGGCTGAGCCGGCACCTCCTGCAGCCCCCGGGGGCTCCGCCTGCCCGGACGGAAGAGGCACCCCAAGGCCGGAGGGCTGCCTACGGGCGGAGAGAGCGGGCGGGTGCCGCCCTTCACCCCCCTGCAAGCTGCCTTGACCGCCCTCCACGCGCTCCCTGCGGCTGCCATTTTTTTGTTTGTTTTTGCTTCAGCAGTCGGGCTGCCTTTTTTTTTGCCTGGGGTGGCAAAAAATCTAGAGCCGGCCCTGGCTGTGCCTCACAGCTCACGCCTGGAGTTGGCCCATTCCTTAGTCGCTGGGACTGTACCCTCCCGGGGACAGCAAGGGGGGCATGGGGGTAGGGTACAGTCATAGGAGGCAGGAGCCCTGAGGCCAGTTCCAAGCCCCCGACTCTTGGTAAGGTCACAAACTCTCTCTGCCTCAGCGGCCCCATTTGCAACGAGGCCAGTACCCCCCGCCTCCCACGGGCTGGTGAAGAGCACGGCGATCCCAGCCGGAAGGTTTTAGGGCCAACATCTCCCCATTACTTGGTCCCTACTGGAGAAACGTGATACAGCCAGGCTTTGGACTGGGGTGGGGTGTGCGTGCGTAAAATGAGCAAATCATGCTGGCTTGGGTTAAAATAAAATCACCACCATAACCCTTCCACACAGGGAGCGAGAGCCCTTCAGCACCACTTAAGAGAAGACGATTTTTTATTTAAGCTTCTCTCCCAGCCAAGACATCAACTCCCCACAAAATTTCACATCCCCAGCTGGCCTGCAGCCCCCATCTCACCAAGGCAGGCAGTGCCACCGTGAGACCCATCAGTCAGGCCAGGCCTGCTAGCACGGTCTACTCAGCCGCCCGCTACGGGAGTCCGTTCCCGCTCCTGGGTTACAACAGGTGGCAGCAGGGTTTACGGTCGGAGTGGAAATGGTTCTGCAGGACCCCCGCCTGATGTGGACGGTAGGAGCCCAAGAACTGGCATGTTGGACTGGCCTGTGATGTTACCTTCACCCATCATCTTACTTGGCTGGATAGGCCAAAGCTAGTGAGATACAAATGCCGGTCAGCCGGAGGAGGGCAGAGGCAGGGCAGGCTGGTGGGAGGTGAAGAGAAGATTGAAGCACCTCAGGCCACGTAGCTCCAAACATTTCCTGTCACTTCGATTGCCGGTGATCAGGTCAGGACCCTCCCACGGCCAATGATAAACAGTCAGAAGCGCCGTAATGAGGGACGGGGCTCTAGCCACCTACCCTCCAACTCAGTGTGTTTTAAACACTTTATTCTCACGGATGGCCATACAATTGACAGTACAAATCTCCATGGATTCCCCTCTTCCACCGAACTCACTAGACAGGGAAGCTGATGGGCACCGCGCCTCACGTCTCATTATGGGACGGTGTCTGGAGCCCAGCCCAGGCGCTCACTGAAATCATAGCCCCAGAGGATGTGGCCCAAGGGTTCTGAAGGTGCAAGGTCGGGGAGAGCCTGAATGGGACAGAGCAAACCCATGGCCCAGGGGGACGAGGCAAACCTGGAGCAGGAGGGCCGGACAGTCCCATCATGGGCTGCTCAATTTCAAGGTCAGCTCCAGCCTCACACGAAGGCAATTCAGAGATCCCGTCCAGCTGAGCCAGCCCCTGCTCTCCAAACATCCAGCTGCAGGCTCATCCCCTTCAGAGTCCCTGAGGAACGGCTCTATGCCCCCGGGACAGGTAGATGCTAAGGGGTACTGAGGGACACCCCAGCCCCTGGCATAGAGGGACGCTGAGGAGGTGCACACGGAGGGGAGGGCTTGCCTGCTGCTGTGAGATGAGAGGGAGCCCCCACCTGCACCAACACCCCGTGAGGAGGGGTATTTCCTTGGCAATGAATTAGGAGTGAATTCTTTACAGGAAGGGTGTAGGTCCTGGATTAACAGGCCTGGACCTCCATCCCCCAGCTTGTCTCCTCTGCTGCCCGGCCAAGGGGCCTCAGCCTTGACTTGAAGGGGGAACCTCCAGGAGGAGAGCAAGGCCCATGTCCATTCACTCTCTAGCAGCTGCTGAGCAGGGAGCCGATAGGGACTGAGAGTCAGGCAAGAGGGACACCTGTGCATGGATCCAGCTGGCCACCAACTCATTCCACCCGGGCCACCAAAAACCTCAGATGGCAGCAACCCCGTCTGGCTTCGTCCAAGCTCCTCCTAGCCACCCCGTCCATCATGGCCTCTTCCCCGCCACCCACCTCCATAACTGGCCTTATGCACCAGTTCAGTGGGCAAGACACTTGGCTTTGGGGTTGATCCAGGGACAGGTGGCTCCGGACACGAGCATTGCAAGCTCAGGCGCCCCGAGAGGCTGGGATCACTAGCCCCCGAGAGCTGCTGGTCGGGGCAAGCTAGAGACAACCTGGAAAGAGCCAGCAGGGAAAGTGAAACCTTTCAAGGCCAGGCGTGCGGGGGGGACTGGTTTCCCATTCTCCAGTATGCGATGCAG